TCCGAAGAGCTGTCCGACGAACTCTGATGTCTCAGTCTGGATCTAGTCCTCTCGCGCGCGAGCTGAGAATCCGAATCCGACAGGGAGAACGTCTCTCTCCCGAATCGTCAGACCTGCGGAGATTCTTGAGTCGCTGTTCCGGGATGGAGCTACCCTTCCTGTTATCAACGAAGATAGTGACGAAGACTGATTTGGAATCTATGTCATGCTCCTAAGTATCATCGTAATCAAAAATAAAAATCCCCGCCGGTCAATTCGATTGAAGTACCAAGGAGGGCGCGCAGCGTCTGCTCGATGCGCGGTAAGATTCAAATGTGTCCCGCGAGATCCTGGGTCAGCGTCAGACCAAGGAATAGCGATTGGGAGCGGCAATGGGCCTTTACCGAAAAAGCATGGAAATCAGTGGTAGGGAATGAAGTGTTCGCGAATGAACCTATTTGGACTATTCCGATTTTGATGAAACTTGGTGTGCGTGTACATGGGTTTACGGGGTTTATTTGTGACATAGTGTCATCCATGTTCACGAAGGTCTTCGGTGTCTGGGAGCTTGAAGAAAATTAAAATTCGGAAAAAAATGATGATGAAAAGTACTGAGGAAAATGAGACCGGGCTAGAATTGTGGCATTTTTCGCCAGCTTTCCAACGAGACCAAGCACGACCCTCTAGCTCTTACCGTTTCCGAGAAAATCGCATTTTGAGATTTTTGAACTTTGACCTTTTTCTCGAAACTGGCCGCGTCGATTTCTGGGAGACTCGTGAAAAAGTCTTCTACTAACCGAGAGCTATCACCCTATCTAGTCAGTTTTCCAAAACAGATCGTAGCCGGGATCGCCACGTTATTCGGCTGTACCCTTTGGAATGTCGCGGGCTGGGCACTAGATCACCGTGTGAACGGAGGAAAAGAGTTCCGGAGCGTTCCCAAGATATCGAACGCCGTATCGAAAGACGCTTCCTAGGGAGAACTCTCGACGCATCTGGGGGGGGGGGGGTGGTTCGTACTCGAGCCTTCCTCCGATACGGGAAGTATTGACCGTCGAAGCCATCGGATGATGTCATCATGAAGCGGGGTGATCATCTACTCTCCTCCGATCCGTGGGTCCTTGTGCACGACTGTCAGAAAAGGGGAGCCAGGAGGACGATCTCGAGTCGGTGTATATGTTCCTCAAATGGGGGAAGCGCTGGAATGAAAATCCTCCGCATGAAAATCCTCTGCGTCCCTGCTGAACAAAAGCAGCTCGAAATTAAAAAAGAAGCGCGAACTCAAAGGATGAAGACTCGGAAGAGTCGGAGCGCCGCAACGGCTGAGCGAGTTCGAGTCGGGAGCTCGTTCAGTGGAGGCCGAATCGGACTCATTGGAACAATCCTCGAAAAGCGGCAGCGCTGTGTTCTCTGGATGACGTACGACCGAAGGGAAGATAGAAAAAGGCCGCGCTGCCGCATTTTAGCGCCATTAACGATCGAGGTCATATCTCCAGCGTATCTGTCGAGTAGAAGTTCCCGCATCGGCTCTCCAGTCCGCAGACAGTCAGATACGCAGTCAAGTCGAAACTCTCGAACGGCCCGACGGCTTGATCAGCTTCGAAACAATGCGCCAGATCGTTTTATCTCGCCAGCGCGAGCTCCAGAGATGGCACTACATTCCTGAATAGAACGAGCTCTCGGACGGCGAACGTCTCGCTGAAACAAAACGACTGCGAGATGAATACAGCTGAAAGAACGCGAGAGATGAGCGAATCGAGAGTGTTTTCACTCCGGCCTCTAGGATGAGAGGTGTGCGGTGTGTGGCTCCTTTGCCCAAGCGGCTCCTTCATTCGCGCTTCTGGGCTCGTGCATGCACGGGAATCGACCCGAAACTCGAGTTTTGAAGCGAGAAGCCGCTCCGAAGGAGAGGAAAACTAGTGATTCGTGTCGTTCCGAATCAGTGTAGGAGCTGGTAGTAGACGAAAACAGAGGGTAACACGATTCCGGCCACAGGGAGATCTCTATTCCTTCTGCCGACCTTCCATCACGAGCAGAAAATTTAGCATTGCAGTCCTCATGAGGTCGTGAGAGTCGATGCAAATCACCGGAACGTTTTTGAATGACAGGTCCTCCTCGGATGCCCAGTTGAGCTTGGGGACGTAGACTTTCGCACCCGTCTGCATTCGTGAAGTCCCGATACACTGAAGACGAATCCAATTCTGTCAAGTCAGAGTGCACTGTAGTCAGCCGAGCAGAAGTCAACAGTTACCTCCACTCAATGGAGGAGACAGACCCCACGCCGAGCGGGTGAAGCGTAATTGTTTTTGCCAGCTACTCGGTAATCGGGTAAACCAAACCACCTCCACCACGACTTTAATGAAATCGTAACGGCGCCTTTGGGAATGCGGCAGCAAGAACAGCAGCAAAGGCAGCTGGAGTTGAAAGCACCTAACGGTCGTTGTCGTCGGCGGCGGGCACTACTTACAGGAGAGCTTCACAAGAGAGCATCGCGTGTATTATGTACAGACGCATTGCGGAGCATGCGACGAGGCTAACCCTCGACGTCGACGACATTCCCATAGGGGGACTTGCTGACTGAGAACAAGCGGATCTGGTAACAGCAACGACAACTCTCAACAATAAGATCACTCCAGTCGAAGCCAGCTACCCTGTGAGCACCGGCAGCACGTTCTCTGATCGCGTCCTCTTCGGGCGATCGTCGTCATTCGCACCGGATCGCGATGGCCAGGTGCTGTCTCCGCACTCAACTCATCCGACTCTCGGGGAGAGCCGGGCGGGAAACTCATCCGCGTGTTGCGTTCGCTCTTGCGACACCACGGTCGAGCACGATCTCGTCGTCGACGGAGTCGAGGAAGACGCAGCTCTCCTTTCGGTGACGGCGGTCGTCAGCATACATACCAGTCGGTGAAACACCGCGTCGTTCGACCGTTCGACCGTCCGTCCGCCTGCCCGCCCGTCCGTCCGACCAGCCGACAAAAGAAACTCGCTCGAGTCTGCTCGCATGATGGGGTGCGAACTTCTCCCGGCACTCCCCTTCACTCGGCTAAAATGGATGCAAGCAAGCGAACGCTTCCTCCGTCCGTGCCGCAGAAGCAGTCGGCGTGACATTAGGTTCATTAGTCGGTGGAACTATGCCTCACCAGAAAACGAACTACCATAACGGGTGACTCACCGCCGGCGCCGCCAGCAACAATCACATCTGCTAGCAACTAGGGAACTTGACGTCGCGACTGGGACTTCGACCGCGGGGCGGCGTTAATTTCAAGCGCTTCCGAAATTAGAACTCTTTTGTCACCGTTCTGACGCGTGTTCCGGGCACGGAATTTACATCAACATAATTATAGCATGACATTTTCAGGTCACGTAGAACGAGTGAGAAGTTTCTAGGGACGTAGTCGCGTTTCTCGAGTGACCCGCACAGAGTATTACGGAGGATTGGGGCTCGAACGCAAGGGTCCGACCCGTCGAGGAACTCTCCCGAACGTTGCGTACTATTTCATTACGGCACGCTCTTCGGAATGTTGTCCTGGTCATCATCGTCATCATCGCGATCCTTGTGACTTCGGTAAAGTCCTTGAAGTACTCGGCAAATATGCGTACTCGGTCTCGTGTCTAAACAGATGAGGGCCCGCTAGAAAATGACTGTATTGTATTGTAGAGGACGCTTCTTTTATTGAGCGTGCTCGTTTTGTCATGCTCTTGTCAAGTTGCTACAGCATGTCTTCTGCGGTGGTTATTATGGTAACGCGGTCAGTAATTGATGTAGGTACGTCCCGGAGCTCCTCCCTACGCTGGCTTTGCTGCTCCGACTGGTTCTGCATATTACGGAGGTATTTGTTTGTGTCCCGCATGTGTAAGGGCGCTGGACAGGCCTGCCCCCTGACTCTACTTGCTGTCTACGGATGTCCAACTCTCGATATTCCATTTCGAGAGTGTTAGACAAGGGAACTAAAGTCGTGAAGTATACAAACTCAATAACGATGCCCCCTTCGGATTCAAGTCACCGACGACACTGCTGCGGAGATGACACCGCGGTAGAAAACGGAAAAGCTTGTGGAACGAAACAGGTCTGAAGAGAAACCTCTGCTGTTGCTGGCGGTTATTCTCGTACATTACCGCTGGACGTAAAAAGTTTTTAATGTGAGTCTTCGCAAAGTAGTTCGACTCTCGGAGGAATCTGTTGCCAATGAGAACAACCAGTCGAGCGAAATCGAAATAAACTCCGGGACGGTGACGCTGGAAATAGCATGCGGAGCTCCGCAAATGCCGAAATGCTACACGAGCGAATCATGCCCTTTTTCTTCTGCATCGGATTCAAGCCGTGCGCCGGATTACTGAAGTAAGCACGCCAGAACACCGTGTCGAGCTCGAGGCTCGTGGGACCGACAGCGTAGAAAGAACAGAGCGAGCCCTTTACCTTCAACTTGCTCTTCGTTTGCGTCCACCCCAATCCGGGATCTCTCGACGTAAACCCATGTGTCGGCATAGCAGCCTCGGCAAAACCAGAGTTAGAGATATTTCATGCTGATGATGGTAGATATGGATCTAATCGCCGATCTGTTTTTCGCGCTGCGATATGTCTGTGTGCCGCTTTGAGAAGCAGGCTGTGCGTCGGGAGGGGTTGAAAGATCGTAGCGGACTGCTATTGACGTCGGTCGGCGCCGAAGTGCCGTTCGTCCTTTGTTTCGCGGGCTTCCCTCGCAACTTTGGCCACCGCGGCGGAGTTCCTTCGACTGTGAAAGGATGATGCTTGTGAGTAGCTCCGCAGTGATCGCGTGAGAGTCACCTTCCTCTCCTCTCGAACAGTTCCTACATACATATATATCCGATGCTCGGCGATATCGTCCAAACGGTTCAGCCACATTCGAAGCGACTGCAAGGCACGGAGTAGGCCGCGTGAGAGGATATATGTACATATTACATATGCGGGGGAAAGCTGAGATTAGCGCCGGCAGGACTGCACGTAGAGGAATGCAAATCCAGCGTTCGCAGTAACCTCGCGGAGTTCGGGGAGCGCCTCACGGAACGGAGACTTGCGCCCCGCACTGGAATCCTTGGCTTGTTTGAATGAGTATTACCGCGTACGTGAGCACACTGCCCAATACCTGGGGAATCATAGAATACCCATTGAAATATACGCCGATACGCCGAAGGAGGGTATCTCTCGGATGGTGGACTTTCAAAGCTCGTATCTCCCTTCCAGAACGATAGGCAACCCAGGAATTACGCCCTTCCGTTGCGGCATGGCGGCTCAGCTGCGCACAAGATTGCTTTCGATGGCGCTTCAATCAACAAAAATCATCGATTGGTCAGGATAAAGTCCGTCGCTTGCCTCCGCCTTACCAAAACCATGCGAGTAAAATATGCCGAGCCTCAGAGGCGAATCGAGAGTTAGAGGTCTCTCGGCGTTTTTGGGAAATCCTTCGGGATAAATTACACCAGAAGAGTCATGAAAACTCCGCGACTGTAATGCCGGCGCGGCGTATGAGTAGGTCTGCAAACTACTCGAGTCTGAACGCCGGCGCCGGAATGGGCGCGGTCGTAAAAGACTTTTTTAACTTCTTATGAGCTCCACTACAATACTCACGGTAACTACGAGAGACATGCGGATTCTGAAGAAGCCGCAGCCCGTAAAAGTGATAGCGGGCACATCCAATGCCTGTAGCAAGAGTTGTGCCTGGGCGACAAACTCCGGACTCCTTCCGGAGTAGACTGCTCTATTGACGTTGCTGCGAATCTCGACGGCCTGTAACGTGAGGACGAGCGTAACGTTCACCGACTACGCGCTAGCATTCTCTTGTCGGCGTCCTGTTACATTCCAGATGTTCTTTCGGAAACTCGAAGGCCGAGCGAGACGGCCGTTCATGAAGGAAACAAGCGCTCCCTCGCTTAATCTATTCATCAACATAAGCCCCCCATACGACCCCACTGCATTCGTAACGGTCGCGAGAATTCTCCAGCCCTGACTGCTCGCCTCTGACGGAAAAAGCCTGACACCCTGATCTTAATCTTGCATGGGGAACCCTTGGCAGGAGCACCTTTGTAGCACGCGAGAAGCTCCTACCTCGCACTGCATGACGTGGACGACATAAGAGCTGTGACAGACGTCGATCACGCTGTACAGGCCATAAGAAAGCGCATACCAGATCTGCCACGTCTCATGGATCGACTCGATGCAAGAGTAGATCAACACGGTCAGCACCAGCATTGTACAAGGGTAAAACACGAGGACAGAGTATTTGAGGAGATCGTTCGTCTGACTGAGTATACCGTAGAATTCGCAGAGGAAGAGTCGATTTTCCTCCAGCTCCTTGGCGCCGTCCCGCTCACCTCGGAGAACCGTCTGGAAACAGCAGAGAAATTAATAATCTTCAGAGCGTGGATGATGAAACACCGAGCACACTATCAATACCCCCCGCCGAGCTCGAACTCGCCGGCCAGCCAGCCAGCCGCGCGTTCAGCTAGCGATCGCCAGACTTAGCCTCCGACGTGCGAAACGCATGAATAATGATGTATATCAGGAGCGCCGGCGGGGAAGAAAATCGGGAGAAGGCCCTAGACTTCGTTTCGACAAAAGCCGGGGTTATTCGCTTCTTCGATGCGAATATCGGGCCTCCGAGCCTAACCACCAAAGTTTCCACGGAATCACGTAACCGCATTGATGCGAGCATACATATGTATATTCGAGAAGTACCTCGGTGGATTCGGTCCCCTTCGCTTCGCGGAGATGGCCATCTCGGCTGGTCGAAGGCCTATTGTGTGCCACGTTTTCCTCGATGCTCGGACCCCTGAGGCATACCGACATCTACGCGTCGCCCAGTCCACGGCTGCTGCTGCTGCTGGCAAGGCTCCAGGAGGATCGACGGAGAGCCGGCCTCGAAGCGCCACAATTCAAACAGCTATTCAAACGGTGTAGAGCCGTCCTTCCTCTCTCAACATGTTTACCTGTCAACTCACGCGAACATCGCTTCTTCGAGATTTCGCTCGACGAACGACTCTCACTGAACGTGGACGCAAATGCTTTCGAGTTGATTTATTGCTCGAGTCCATTCATTTAGGAACGCTGATAGAACACTCCGTGAGTTTGAGTCTTCCGGGATCGCAGCGGCGACGGACGTCCACTCCTAATCGCTTCCTACCATGGTTCACGTCGGCGTCGATGCTGCCGAGGCTTTCTTCCGCCGACCGAGTCCCATCGTAACACCGATGATAACCTGTTCCAAGCTCACCTGTACACTGGTGTTGATACGGCGTAGATACATCCAAAATATATGTGACAATGCCTTCAGCATCAGACGACTGGCATTTGCCCACATGCAGAAGATCATCAAACTGAGGATGTCGATTACGTTGAGAAATAGCCACAGAGCTTGGTCGGAGCTCCTATACGGCCTGATTGATGATACGTAACAAAATATGGCGTTCAAAGGTATGGCGAAGCCGTACGACAGCGTAAACTGAATCCAGTGCCGACCTGTTGACAGGGTGAAACGTTGTTGGTGGCAATGGTTCGCTGAGCTCATGTAGGGACCAGGAGCTCGGCGCTCGATCCAATCATGGGGTTCTAGAAGGACTAGAATGATTTTCAATCCCGAATTGCCTCACCTTTATCCGGACAGTCTCTACGCGTCACATTGAGATTCCGATCGTAGACCTCACCGCGAACCATCACCTTCCGTATCGTCGATCCTCTGGCGAATATAGTGCCGGTATTGATGACGACCTGAAAAGCTTCCACTTATGCCGCGGGTACCTTCTCGACTCAGAACGATCCTCGCTCTGGATTTCTCAAAGTTTCGAGCTCTGGAATCCTTCCAGAACGATCTGCGAAGCTGGCTGACCTGAAGAAGGACCACCAGATTGATGGCCACCGCTGTGTAGAAGGAGATCGGAACTCTGACCCCGCGGTCCGAATATTCGTTCAACGATGTCTGAAGGTTCCTCCAGCGAGTCACGAGATGAACGCCCCACACGATAAGGTGAACACACATCGCGTACAAAATGTACCAGCCATCGCTGCGCACTCGGAGGTCGTGTGAGTCATTCTTCCGGTGGAATCCTGAAATTCGCAGCGAGAAGTTTCTCCGGCCTCAAAGAGGGGAGGGTCTGAGATTCATCGATTTCCAGGCAGACGGCGGGACGCGGAACGCTATCGGCCGGGAACTTGCAAAATAAAGCGTCTGCCAGTCTGGGAGCAGAAGATGGACTCCCTTCGCCGTCGCCCCTCTCGTCCTGTGCCCCCTGTCTCTAGTCTCTTCTGACTCTGGCCTCTCATCGTCGACTTCGTCATCCCCTTGCGGTCATGTAGGGTGGGGAAGACTCCTCTATCCGTTCGCCGGCTACTCACCTTCTATGAAAAGACAACCCGTCGAGCGGAAGCAGTAGGCCAACGGGAGGAACTGCTTATACAGCAGACCACATTTTTTCTTCTGCCACTTGGCCTCGATCCGGATCTCGGAGGTTCCCTGAGCGTCCATCGCAGAGGCACGTCGTCCTTCCATGCCGACGCTCATTCTCGAGGACGGCATGCTCACTAGAGGAAAACATTCCTTCAAGTGAGATTGTTGCCGCCTACCGTGACAACCCGGAATTGGCTTAAGCATCCTGCGCTTGCGAGCAGAATTTCGTGGAGTCCGTATGACCGTCAGGCTGACGTCGCTCAGCTTGCCGTCGCGCACCCGCCTCAGGGCCTCCGATGTGCTACATATACGGAACGCTGGCGCGGAACAAGCTTCATTAATGGGACGGGTGCGCATCGACTGCGTGAGATGGTTAAATCAGACGGGGGATGGTCACCAGAGGTTGCGTCCCGCCAGAGGTTCACTCTCCAATCCTTTATCAAAAGAATCCTCGCTCGAGGCCAAGCTCAACAGAAAGGTGAAATCGAATGACTCTCCGCTGTCCGGGAGCGTCCTCGGGACGCTCCGGAAGACTATTATTATCGACGGCGTCATCCCACCTAGAGAGATATGTCTGTTAGTCTCCATCCGGTCCGCCATGACCGTCTGGGATAGCGCTCCCCGGCGGATCTCCGTTTTGCGGGCGGCGCCCTCCGGTCTCTCAGTCAGATTCGTTCGCCGCACTCAGCTGCAGAGTGCCAAGTTCCCAGGTATTCCATTCGAATTTCCGGGGCGGAGACCGAGGGAATTTCCGGGGTACCCACAAGGGAATTCCGCGGCGACCCGGTCGAGGACGGCCAATTCAGAATATCGCTGACTGAGTGTTCGAGGGATGTGAATTCTTTATCGTAGCCCTAAATATCAGCCGGCTCGTCGCTTGAGTAGTCCGAGCCGATCGGCTCCAGAGCGGGAGATGAGAGCGCGATAACAAGCATTGATTAACCCATTTCCGTGGAGCAGCCGCGTGTCTCTTCTCGGGAATGACCAGACGATGGGAGCAATGTTCCAGCTTCCCCCAGGTTCCAGCGATAGTGTCGTTCTCGCGTCCTCCTTGATCGGCATCTAGCAGCGCTGGAAAAATGCTCGCTCAGATACGTCGATCGAAGCGAGGACATTCTGCTGTAACATGGTGTCGCGAGGTATCGGGCTGACTACCGTCTCCGTCACTTGATGCCGGCCCAGGCGTGCAACGCCTCCGTTCAGCTGGTATGCTCCGGTTCCGCCGAGGCGGACATCTACAGAGTCCGGTGAGAGTCCTCAAAACATTGATGACTACGATGGAATCTCACAGAGAAAAATAGGGTCGAGGCGATGAGCATGAAATTCTCGGCATTAGCCTGAGCCCGAGTTGCGGGGAGCAAGCTCCTCCCTCTCCCACCCAAAACGGGAGGATGGGCTCACGGAAATGTTTACCAAAGTAGTTGAGGTCAATCACTGTCGCGGTTTCCGTGCAGCGAGCGAATGAGCCGAACTCAACTTTATTGTATGTGGACTGCTTCGCTCTGTGCCAGAGTTTGCGGACTCAATCATGGGAGACGGCAAGGAGAGAATTCGGCTGCTCCGAGAGATCTGAACAGCGCGTGAGTTCGACGAGTGAAAGGAACACAAAACTGTGCTTCAACGGTTCAGCAAGCCTGCGCTTGCGATAATGGAGTCCACCGTGGCAGCGTTGGGAGATTCTCCGATTTGATGTTGTTGCCTCCGCCGGTTGTCGGTCGACGGGCCGTCGGGTAACAGTGAGGCCACCGCGTCGAGGGGGAGAGGAGAGATTTCGACGGCACAGAAAAACGGCGAAAAGAGCTCCTCATTCTCTAGCAGCGGGAGGAAAGAATGGAGAGGAGGATTCGAAGGGGCGAAGAAGGAAGCTTGTCCGAGCCTCCGCTGCTAGCATCAGCGCTCCCGACGCCACCCCTACGGTTATCAACGGGACCGAGGCGAAAACGAAACGTCGCAGTTGTGTCATTTGGTGACTGTTGTCGTAAACTCTTTCCCCGGAAACCCCTCCGTCACAGAGACTCCAGTCCTGTTTCGACTCTGATTATCCTTCTCTTTTTCAACAGGTCCACGCCAATCGTCGCTCGACATTTCAATTGTCTTCACATCGCAACGACACACGTACTTCAGAGCTGATCTAATTTAATTTTTAGCGGAATTCTCTTTTTCTCCCTCTATTTGCTGTGACTCGTCGGGCAAATCGAGCGGAAATCCACAGCCACGAGAAACTACCGCCGAGTTTCATTCTTGTTCCTCCCCTCCCGGACACTGAGGGACCTGCGCACAGCACTCGCTCACGGAGTTCGAGCCGTCATTGTGAACGGGTATCTTGATTCCTCCCTCACGTTCGAAATACTCGACAACAAAGTGACTGCTTTGTCCTCGCTAAACATTTCAGGGATCGGGTCGACAGGCTCAATTTCGTGTGACGTCTTCGTGCATTTATCTTGTCCGCATGAGAATACCTGCCAGAGGAGAGAGATCGCTTGATCCAGCGTTTCCACCGCTCAACAAACGTAACTTCTTCCCGGAACTAGACAAACTTCTTGATGTCACAAGCCAGAGTCAAAGGTCACTCGAGACACCTCGGTTTCAGCTTCTTCTTCTGAAGGCAAACGAGGAGGATCCGAGTCCTTCGCGATGGAGGAAAGGGAAGCACGTGCGCTTTCATTAACAGACAGGATCGTATGTTTGCATTCGGAGAGAGCCTTCGATATTAGCTCTCCTCAACCATCGCCGAGAATGTACACTCGTTTCTCGCACAGGAAATTGCTTTGTTTATGCTTCTTCTCGTCAGCCTTGGACCTCGACAGAAAGTCTCGCAAGAACGGGACTCCCGGAGAATCTCGTCATTGTCTGAATTGACTCCGGAGTCAACGAAGACGCGACAAGGCCCCTGACGAAAATGTCCATGGAGTGGAGTAGCGACGGAACGTCGGAGTCGATTTTAGATTGAGCTGTCGATTAGGATCTTGGTCGCGCTCTGGAACCTCGGGGCGTCCCTCGGATTCCGGAGGCAGTATTGGGTTCATTCTTGCTATAAGACTCACTCAGTCAGTCCTATCCGATCTGTCGAGAATAGGAGATCCGAACGAGACAATCAAAATTTCACACCCCTCTGGATTCAGGTAATTTACCTTGAAATCAAACTCGAGAAGGTCGGCGAAGAAACTCAGTATGTGTTGCGAGGGTCGTTTCGCGACTCCCGGTTCTGATACCGCAGTTGAGAGCCTCATCAAGGTTGCCTGACGGAGAGCCAATGAGACGCCTGTGACCGGTCACTACCTACTTGCGGCAGTAAGCCTTAATGCATGTTCACAAACCAAGCGGCGTCGAATCCATTCGATCGGTGGGGCGGTGGGTTGTAATTTCCCTTGTTAGCGATCTACCGAATCCTGCTCAACTCGGGAGGAATCTACCTATAGCGAGAAGCCCCCATCGACAATTTCTGGGTTTATTCGACGGGCTGCCGCGCGACCGCTGACGGAATTGGAGAGGAGAAAACTCGCTCTACGAGCAAGGACCTGACTCCGAAGTCGTTACATCGAGAACAATCAAGCGATGCTTCCTCCAGGCGTGCCTGCCTGCCTATGTGCCTGCCTGCTACAAATCATTCGAGCTCCGCACCGGGAATGCCGTATACGGAGACCATCTGTCATCCGAACACCGAAAGTTTTGCGGAAGAATCACAAAATAAGACATTCGTGAAGATGAATATCCGCTACGAAGAGCCAGGGTATTGGCGAAAGCCGAGTGGGACGGTGCGGAAGACTCGTTCCCAGACATTGCTCTCGAGGGAAAAGAGCCTAGGGATGGTGCGACTCTGCTTTGTCATGGCGAGTGATATCCCAGAGCGGTGCCGAGTTGGCAGAACCTCAACGGAACGAGCGTCATTCCCTCGTTGTGGCACATTCACGCGATTGAGTGACTGGAGAAACAGAAAGGCAACAATTCCTACTGGTCCTCTTCCTCCTCGGTAGGAACCAAATGATCCATCCATTCATAAATGGCCATGGGGTCTGAACTGACAAAAGTTCGTAGAGGAGCCCGAGGGTAAGGCGTAGCACCCGAAAAGGCGGTGAGAGACCGAACCTCGAGTCTCGAGGAGGTTTGAGGCTAGCTCATGGAGAGCGAGCCGACGTCGAGGAAATCGAGGAGTACCACATATGTATATGATCGTCATCAGCAGGAGCTCGCTCAATTATTTTTCTCGAACGCTCGGTCCCGATGGAAAAGGAAAATTGGGGCGAAAAAGCGCAGATTTATTCTCTCCTCCACTCCACAGAATGCACTGATTCCCCGCAGCTTCCTCCCTTCTCCGGACCCGAATGCGCGGACAACTGTCATAATCACCACTAGCTCCGGCACAATGCGATTGTCGAGGCACCGAGTATTCCTGAATAAAAAGAGCTTTTGTAATCTCGACCGGGAACGAGGAAGAAAGAAAGGCCTCGCCAACTCGACTCGGATCCAAGTCCTGAGCTAGTCCCGTGCTTTTTCGCTTCAATGGGAACAATAGACCATTTGGTGGACCTTGCAGGGGAGGTACTTCAAGCGTGGTAGACCGACCAACTATCCGCACGTCTCTGCGTGGAAACGTCCGCACGTTTGTCCGAGCGAGAAAAGGCTTGGAGAGGACGTATTTCTCCGCTCAAGCCGCAATCAGATTTGTGAGGAGCAGGCAAGCTTGAGCAGGAGTCCCCACGCTCATCTAAGCTCATATTCCAAACAACAAGGTGATCTCAGAGGAAGTGAATTCCCCGAGTATCGATCTTCGGATTGAACGCATCGGTTCCTACTGTCCGACTCCGCTCTTTTTTCCGCGGATGGGAGCAAGCTAGAGCTCGATGTTGATTTTGAACTCCTCGGAAGCTGGGAACTGTCCCGTCTTCGGGGAGAATGAATGGCTTATAGGGACCGTACAAGCAGCGCCGAAGACGCTGCGAGAACCCGGATGGGGGAACGGAGACGACACGAAGGAAAGAGGACGCGGTCTGTGCACAACACTAAGGGGAGTGAGGAGGCGAATACTCTTCGGCTTACTCTCCCTTGGTAATGCGTCTTCCTGACTTTCTAACTCTTTCTTTTTCTCGTCCTAGCTTTTTCCCTTCATTCCCACCTCCCTGAATCGTCGT